ATGGAAACTTGCTGTACCAGGCTGAAGTTGAAGGGAACGTGATGGAACAGAACCAGCACCTGCAAAATGACAATTAAACCCACAAACACCAACCAGGCCCCATATCAAATCAAAAGTCTGAACCATCTGGGGTTTTTGTTATTTGTTTCCATTTAATAGTGACTAATGGCTTGTATAAATTAATATAATTTCTTATGTACATTTTTTGCACTGTAATTTACTAATTTACATCCCAAAAAATTAGATCAATGTACGTAGTGCCCATAGGCCTTAAAATACCTTGCTGCTGGAGATTTAAAATTTTCTATTTATATCCTATTCCTTAGATCCTTATTTTGTACTTTTTAATTCAATATTGTCCTCAGAATATGCACTGAGCACCAGAGTGTTTTATCATAGAAAATCACAGAATCACAGAATCATTGGATTAGGAGAGATCTTCAAGGTCATTGAGTCCCAGCCCTAACACCTCAACTGGATCATGGCACTGAGTGCCACATACAGTCTTTTTTTAAACACATTCAGGGATGGCAACTCCACCACCCCCCTGGTGGAGATCATTCCAAACCATTCCAGTACTTTATCACCCTTTCCATAAAAAACTTTTTCCTAATATCCAACCTGTATTTCCCATGGTGCAGCTTGAGGCTGTGTCCTCTCATTCTGTCAGCTGCTGCCTGGAGAAAGAGACCGACCCCACCTGCCCACAGCCACCTTTCAGGGAGCTGTGGAGAGTGATGAGGTCACCTCTGAGTCTCCTTTTCTCCAGGCTAAACAACCCCAGCTCCCTCAGCCATTCCTCACAGGGTTTGTGCTCCCAGCCCCTCACCAGCCTCGTTGCCTCCTCTGGACACGCTGAAGTGTCTCAATGTCCTTCCCAAACTGAGGGGCCAGGACTGGACACAGCACTCCAGGTGTGGCCTCACCAGGTCACAATGATCTCCCTGCTCCTGCTGGCCACACTATTCCTGATCCAGGCCAGGGACCTTCTTGGCCACCAGGGCACACTGCTGGCTTGTGTTCAGCTGCTGTCACCAGCACCTCCAGGTCCCTTTCTGGCCACTGTCGATCCACACCATCCCCAGCCTAGAGCAGAGGGTTATTGTGGCCAAAATGCAGGACTTGGCACTTGGATTTATTAAACCTCATCCCACTGGACTCTGCCCATCCATCCAACCATTCCAGGTCTCTCTGCAGAGCCCTCCTGCCTTCCAACAGATCGACACACACTCCCAGCTTAGTGTCATCTGCATATTTACTAATGACGAGTCAATTCCCTCATCCATCAGTAAAAATATTGAACAGAACTGACCCCAGCACAGACCCCTGAGGAACACCACTGGACTGGCCACCAGCTGGCTGCAGCTGATGACCAGCTAATTCACCTGGAATTCTCTTTGATGGAAACTAAAGCATAACTGCAGGAATAAATCTATTTTCTTTATTAAGATACAAACTTCAGATCTTACCCCATGTAAATCAGAAAAAGACTTGGGAATACATAAAAGTTACAAATAAGTCATGCAACAAACGTTAGTTTAGATGGTATTAAAATACAAAGTAAATGGAACTTAACGTTTGGTACTTTTTAGCTAAGAACTGTTTTATTCTATGAGTCATCCCATTGGGACTGGCATCAATAAAAGTATTAGAAGCTGGTTCATAATAAAGGCACAGCAGATATAAAGAATAACAATCTTTTCGTATCTTTTTCAGCAGCCAAGCAGACTGGAATTAATAGAAAAATATTTGCTGGTATTTAAGGTATTTTTTTATTAAAATCTGTTACAACTGGTAAGTTGGAAAAGGTGACCTTACATTACTATTACTATCTATAATACTCATACATTATTCATACACCCAAAACTGAATTATACACCCTGCAATGTGCATAGATAGTCAGGTGCCTGCCCAGAAAATTCATTCTCTAAATCAAGACTTGACAGTGGTGCAATTAAAATTAAGAGAAAAGAAAAACAAAACAAAACAAAAAACCCTGACCCTGAACAATAACTTGCCTGAATTACCCCTATTAGACTATTTTTTAATTGTAGGATATTATATGCACTGTATATCATAATGTAAGATGATTACAATTGTTGTTAAAGAAAAGAGATTTTAGGAGAGAATGCACAAAGCTGTGTTTTAGTTTCAGGAAGAACCTTTTTCCACATTTGGACACTTCATCCCTCACAAAAACACATTCATTGATAAAACTTCAGGACAGATGGAATTTTCCTTGCTGGTTTTGGTATGGAGAGCAAAAGACTTTGTCCAGCCTGATGGAATAAACAATCATTTTCTCATGTTGGCACATAAGAGAAAAACAGAAGTCAGCCAAGAACAGAGATGAAGGTATGGATGCCATCCATAAAAAGAAGAGGATCATGGAGAAGGCAAAGACAAAATGCCTTGTTCATTTCCTTCCACCCTAGTAACAGGGGGCATGGAATGAGGCTGGCACTGCACACCTGAAGAGGAAGGAAAGGAGGTGATTCTCCTCACTGTTACACAATTACAAAGTGCTTGATACAGGATGCTGGTTGTGCTAGAGCTGTGCATGAGTTCAGGGACAGCTTGGACAGGCTCATGGATGAGAAATGCTCAGACACTTCTAAGGGATGGAGAGTCAGCATTTTGTTGCTCACTGCTTCCTACCCAGATCACAGATAATACTGAAGCAGTTAACCCCATTAAAGTGCAAAGATTTCTAGAAGCCAACACAGAAGTGCTGACGTCTGACAATGCTGCTGAGCTATGAGCTTTCCTGGTATTAGTAAACTAGCATAGAAAACCCATTTCATGCCTGTCAGCTGGAGTAAATCCTCTGACTAATTTGTTACAAATATGAGGATACCTTGCTCTCCCGGTAACCTTGTCTTAAACACTGGAGGGGAGCAGTGGTGTCTCACTGGCTGCTGAAAAGCAGCAAGAACAACTCTAAATAATCACTTCATATCTTCTGAGAAAAGCCTGGGTAAGTTAAACTTCATTTGATGCTCAGTACTGGCTGGAATTGATCTGTAAAAATTGCATAGCGCACATTTACACCTAGGATGTGAGACAGCAATGTCTTCATCTTAGGTAAAATCAAAAACCTTCCAATATTTTGTTGTTTTAATTTTAACTTGGAAAAGTCACTGAATCTTGTAAGTGATCTGAAATCTGCACTGCCAGATTGCAGTTGAGTCCATGTAGCAGCAGAGGGTTCAGGTATGGTTTAGGACTATAATTCCAGGTTTGAGAAAGGCTTCTAGATGTAATTAAGTTATTCACATTTCTTGATCTCCCCTGAGAACATAGAAACCAAAATACTCTGCACAGGTAAAATCTAGGAATTCAAATTATTCAAGAATAATCTATTGAATCAACTAAATTAATTTAAAATTTTGAGTGACCTGCATGTGCAGTAAACTTTCTTTCTGAAGTGTGAAGAAATGGTGAAGATAGAATGAAATGAGGGTTTGGTCCAATATTATACATAATAGAATTAAATCAGAAGGTAAGATTAGATACTGATTTTCTGTGGGGCCCTTAAATTATAATTAATCAGCCTTTATTTGTCTATGAACTCTTAATGATATAAAAAACAAGCATTAGATACTTTCAAATGTGATGCTTTATCAGAGATCTGAGTATACCACACATCACAATTCTGAGTTCTATTGACTATCACTGAACCCAGTTTTGTCTGGGATGACCTAGGATAACTTGGAAGCAGATTGGTTTGGGGTTTTTTTTTGTTGTATGTGCATCTTTCAAGCATTTCTTCATTTTCATTTACTTAACTTCTGTGGGTAACTGGTTAACTGATCAATTTGCAACCCAACAACAGACTTTAATCATGTGAGCAAAGGATAACTCAATTTTAATGTGACTAATTCAACACTACTGGACTAACTTTAAGAGATGAATAGAAACTCCCTGAACTCCATACTAACCTTGATTCTTAGTTCTCTATTGGGGACACAGAGTTGGAATATTTGTTTCTACTATATACAGCTGAAGAAGTCAACCTTTCAAGGCTAGCTTTACAAAAAGAAAACTGAAAGCCTTGAAAACGCCTTTGTACTAAGCATTTGTAAGAATCACTTTAACCCAGTTCATATTTGTGTGTGCTAGATATGGAATAACTCATCAGTCAGTGGAAAGGATTATACCAAAAGGGAGTCTCCCCTTCCTGTACACCCTTGTCTTAGGAGGTGTCAATAGTCATCCTTACACGTAAAGGGTTTAACATTAAAATGTGGAGATGCAGGTTTTTCATTTGAGTCTACACAGAATTATAGAATCATTTAGGCTGGAGAAGCCCCACATACACCTACAGGAACAAAGATTTCTAGGAAAGAGAGATCCAAAAGGTGAACATAATGGTATAACAATAATATAGTACTACGTGAAGTGACATCATTATCAAAACACTAAAAAATAAAATTACTGCAATTAATACAATTTAATTAGGAAGATTCATGGTGATTGAACGTGGTGACAATCTGCCCCAAGAACTATTCTCCTCGCTTTAAAAGCATTTCTATCACCTTTTCAAAGAAAATTTTCTCAAGTGACAGTTTGAACCTTGCAAACATATGCTACCTCATCCCAAAACACCTTGTTTGTGTCTTCATGTTGCAACACTGTAGACTTAGATACCAAACAGAAATGTGAATTTTTTTCCTAAAGCTGTAAGTTATTTAAGGCAGAGATCAGTTCCAGGAAGGATCATTTTACTATTAAAACTGTGGAGTGGAATGCAAAGGATGGGGGCTCTGCCACTGCCATCATTGTGATGTTAAGTCACAATCTCAACTCAGCATCACAGCAAGATGAGCAGCCCCGCTGATCCTGAAAGGCCCTGTGTTTGATGTTTACATCACACCTCCCAGCATTTTTTAGATTGAAAAATAATAACCAATGGAGGACAATAACAGCCTGTTTGAAACTTTGCATTAAGTGGGTGGAGTCATGCAGCAACTGGTCGGACCTGGTTGGTGTTATCTCGGATGAAGGCTGACAAAAGGAGATCTCTTTTTGGCGTTACCCAACGCAGCCACAGATGCAGCTGGGAATCCAAGCACTGTGGAGCAGCAGAGGGTGAGCATCCCTCTGCCACGTGCCCTTGGAGGGCAGGCACAGAGCTGTCCTGCTTCTCTCCAGGCTCCTCAAAGATCTTCTGCAAGTTTTGCCACAAGCAACTGAGAGTTTGACCCCGAGAACTTGCTCTGAGACTTGCCAAGGTAAACTGGGATGCACTGGAGCCAAGAACATCTAAGGAACTGAAATAAGGATCGTGATGATGAGGGGTAGGGTATTTGGTGAGTGGCTGGAGGAGAGGAGATAGAAGCAGGACGTGCTTGAACGTGCACTTGGTTTCACAGGGATGAACTCTTTACTCCTAACAGTGTATTATGGACTTCAGGGGACTGGGAAGACTGGTCAGGAAGGGGGTGCAGGGCTCTGCCTCTGCAGCACTAGTTGGATGATCTGGACATGACATTAGATTTTTTTAAGAATTATCTATTTTCCTTTCAAGTTGCTCATGATAGTAGTGAGACTACACTTAAAAGACTTTCCCTGCTTCACCTTGGAGTAAATGATGGGTTCCATTTACCCCCATGCTCACCCATCAGCTGGTGATTAAGTGATCAGGCAGATGAGGGCTGATAAGCATGCATGGCTGACAGCAATGATCAAATCAGTTTTCAAGACCAGCTGTATTATTTATAAGCACAAATAAAGTTTGTTATTTGGTTTGTTTTTTTGAAATACAATCATTGATAGCAGTTCTGTTCTTTTCTATGAAATCCCAGAACAAATATTGTTGCAAATCCTGTAAGAATTTAATTTGCATAAACTGAAGCTCTTTAGACAAAAAAGTTTCTGTTTGTCAAGGACGGGAAGATGATCTTTAAGGATTCCTAAAGGATACCCTGATTATACAAAATCTCCATGACAAACAGAAATAATCCCAAAGCTATTTTCTTGAAACCTTACTATTTTTGAGGAGGAGTTGCGTTTTTTGGATCTAACTCAGTAAAATGACTGAAGTTTTGAGGGGTTTTAATGGGTTAAGGGAACCCTTAGGTGAATTCCAGATTCTAATTTCAGTTATGCATGAATTGTGTTCTTATTCACTTCAGATGCTTGCAGTATGGATCACTACTCTTTTTCTTCTCAATGCAGCCAGAGGTGAGACATATAATGAATAAAGTCTAAAAAGAGTAAAAATTATGTGCAGCTTACACCAGGATATCTATATTCTAGAAAAAGCCTGTTCATTGGAATAGATTTAACATAATTCTTCATTAGGACTCATTAGTTTTTAATTGTGTAAAGGTTTTTGCAGCTAGCAAACAGAATGGGAATCAGAAAGATATTTTTATATGGAAATTGATCACCCTCAACTCACTCATGGTAGCTACAACCCTGGTAATGAGAGCCTAGGCACCTACTCTTCACAGTGCCATGCAGAGAACAAGAAAATACTCTTGGTCCAAAATACCTCTTTTTTTTTCTTTAATCACAGTAAAGAATACACTTTTAAATAACAATAAAAATTACTTGGGATTTCACAACTGTTGTGCTATAACAGTGTGGGAGATGACAATTAATGGCGACACCAGCATGTCATATTTGCACCATTACTGCAGTAAAGGCACAATAGAAATTGTGAAACCAGTCCTTCAGGCACAGACCACACTTCCTGAGGCTGTGCTTTGCTGTAAGCTTCCACTCAAATTCCACTTTATTGCTTCCACTAAAATCTTACAGTGATGAAAAAAAAAAGTAGATGCTTAATGTCCATTGTGGAGCAACCAGAAGTATATATTTTAATGTTTTGGTTTCTTTTTGCTCCTTCATGAACTATTGCACAAGAAATAACAGTTTAGATAATCTCTGAAGTTTAGGACTCATTTAAAGCACTACTCTGTGCTGACAGCAAAAACTGGTTTCTTCTCTGGATCCAGATTTTATTGTCTTTTTCCAAGGCCTGTGTTAACACTATATTTGACCAAACACATCCTGAGCTGACCAGGCTGAGCACCAGGCTCTGTTTGCAGCAGGAAGAACTCGTCAAGTTCAAGTCCTTGCTACAACCACCAGAGGACAACTGAGCCCCTTAATGAAAAATGCTCAGAAGTTCCCTCCTAACCCAAATCAGGCTTGTCTGGCTTTCCTGGTGTAAACCTTCTCCTGCCAGGTTCATGCACAGAACCTGTGACATTCCCAGAACACTACTGTCTTTTTCTTTGTGCACCCCAGGAAGGGAAGTTTGCTACAAAAGGCTTGGATGCTTTTCAGACAGCCCCCCATGGGCTGGGATCCCGGGGAGACAACTGGCAGGCTTGCCCAGCTCTCCAGATGCTGTGAACACAAACTTCCTTCTTTACACCAAGGATAACAGGATGAAATATCAAGTAAGAAAATGCTTTGTTTTTAAATACTGACAGTGTACAATACATTCAATAAATTGTAGGGACAGTTTCTTTTCTCACATATTTTTGCTCGTAAGACTCCTGGGAGAACCTCCAATTCTATATTAGACACATGATAATTTTCTTCCATCTTTTTTCCTTTTTCCTCATTTCAGCTCTCAGAGGAGCCAGGTATATTTACAACATATTAATCACAGCCCTCTAACACAAGTTATTACAGGTAAAAAACTCCAGAATTACGGGGTTTTATATAAATGGCAGTCACAATCAGCAGAGGTGTTTATTAAGTCACTTTAGAACAAGTCCAGCTCCTCCAGCTGAGAGGGCCTGTGAGGTTTTAACAAATCAGTCTTTCACTGAAGGTGAGATGCCTGCTAATTACTGCATGACATCCCCCTTTTAAGTCAACAAAACCATAACAAAAAATATGTAAGAGCCAGTACTTGGAATTTCTTTAAAAGAAAATAATGTCTTTTTTCTCAATACACACCAAAATACCTACAGCCTCTGAATCTGTAAGCCCTCTGGGCTTTCCCATAAAATATAAATGAAGCAATGAAGATCTTATCTTCAAAGGAAAAAGGAAAGAAAAATAGGTATAGTTTCAAAGTCAACCACATAATACCTTTCAGAAGATGCTATCTTTGCATTTTTATGGCCAAGTTTGATAAAATCTTGTACTTACATGACGTGTTGTACACATATATCACAAAGCATTGTGCAAAAGATGCCAGTATCATTAGTTCAATTAACCAAAGAGAAGCATTTGTTGAAGAGATTAATTGATTTGCTCTCAAAAGTCAGTTTAGGAATGAGAAATAAGACCCATTTCTTCTGGGTCTAGAACTATGCCTTAACCATCGGGGTACTCTGCCCTTTATCAAAATGTACAGTGGATGGAACAGTCACATCCTTGTTGTGTTTGTTGGTTGTTTGGCTTTTTTGGCACAGAAAATTTCAGCCACAAATCCTTCAACCATAAAAGCTTCGAATTTCCGAGCACACAGGAAAACTCGTTTCATTATACACGGCCACCTTGCCGGAGCAGATCTCCCCTGGATAACAAGCATATGCAGGGTAGGTACAGCTATTGTTTGACACTTTGCTTGTATTTGAAAATCTAAATATCCATATCTGGCTTCAAATTCCCGTGTAAAATGTACACCTCTGTTCTCTTGTTAGCTCAGGGGATATATAAAGAACACAAAAGTCAGAGTGAAGTTCAGTTCCACATGACCACTGTCATGTTCCTGGCTATGAGTACAGAGCACTTCAGCCTTCTGCTGAGTGCCCTTTTGCTGCATTCACCTCCACAGGGAAAGCTATAATAAACTGATTTTTCAATTCCTTGCCAATAATAAAGAGGGGGGGGGAAAGAGTGAATTTTCTCACCTCAGCAAAAGGTCACAATAAACGTGTCAGTTTGAGTGACACATTTGATCTAATAAAACCAAAAGGCTTTCTTCAGCAGATTGGTTTCAGTCTACCCTGGCACATTTCAAAAATGAAATTGTTTCAGAATGAAAAACAAAATCAGAAAGTTTTTTTGGCAGAAGTGTCTAAATAGAATATTTTGGTTATAATGTATAAACTTCAGGGCTGAACAATTCAAGCACAAATTTGAGAATCCTTTTAGATGATCCAAGAATAAACAATTTGAGGAATAAAGCTCGGACCTAGTTTGGTAAGAGGGATACTGTCATTAAGAGAAGTTGGTATGTTAGAGCCAGCCAAGGCATCTGGAATGGAAAAAAGAGCTGAAGGAAGCTTGTGAGTGTCCTCTAATTACTGGTTCCACTCTGCCTCCTTGTGTTGATCTTCAGCATCAGTAGGAATCACAAAAGATGTGTTATCATTGGTCACACAAACAAAACAAAATGTAGTTTACATATGCCCTGCTACAATTGCCATTAATGCCTGTTCCCTTCTCGTTGTTGTTTTCCTGTTCTCCACCAGTCCATGTTTCACTCTGAAGATGTGAACTGCATTTTGACAGACTGGAGGGGCGGCTCCAGTGGTCTGTACACGGACGCTGTCAACAACGTCCGCATTGTGGGGGCCGAGCTGGAGTACCTGGTGAACTTCCTCGAGGTAAAACAATGTCCCTGGAATATGCCCAGTCCACATGGTAAAGGTCATGCTTAGAGTGGCATTTTCTGGTTTGATTCAATAGAGCAAGGAAGAACAAGAAGTACAAGGTAAACCAGGTCCAAATGTTATAAAAGGGCTCTAATCCCACAAAAATGAAAATACCTTCTTCAGTGCAGTAACTGATTTTGAAAAACTAACATGACTTTTCAGCAGTCCAAAAGGTTTGAAAATCTGAAATGAGAAATTAAATCCCCTAGATTTAGTGTATGAGGATAAGATGGTCAATAGCCATGAACACCCTGAAAATGAAGCAGGGTGGGATGATGGGAATTGCTTCTCTTTAGGTAGAGATCCCAACACCCAGAACTGTAACTTTCCACCAGCACACTCATCTCCCTTGCCCAGTGATCTGGCCATGTCCTGGCACTGCATGGGGCCATGCTGCAGTGTCACTGCCTTGTATACCCATACATACTGTTTTTTTCTCCTTTCCATAAACCTTCACAGACAGAGTATGGCTACTCTCCTGCCAACATCCATTTCATCGGCCATAGCCTTGGAGCACACGTAGCAGGGGAGGCAGGGAGGAGGAAACCTGGCATTGGAAGAATAACAGGTACTGCAGGTATTTCAGCTGATAAAACTTCATATTTCCACTCAAGAATCACTGCTGCTTTATAAACATACAATACAGAATGCAGCGTGGTTTGTCATAAATAACAGTGTTCAGCCAGCATGGAGGCACACAAGTTGTGACACAGCCACATATAATTTTCTTTTAAAAACTCACTACTTTCTGCTTTTCTTCTCCCCCAATCAGTTCTTTTCTCTGCATAGATGTGTCTAAGCCATGCACACATGAGCAGTCACACAAGAAATTCAGGGAACCAGACTGAGAGCTGTGTTTCTTTATCTCCAAAGAGACCATTTTCAACCAAGATATTCTAGAAATAAAAATAGACTTCTTGCCAAATAAAAATTCATAAATAAATCTACATGCTCAGAGTAACGTATGAAGATTTCAACACAAAATGGGTTTTTATATGTGGAGTAAAGGAAGAAATATAATCCCATATATAGCATGTGGTGATATACATAGACTATTATTTACTCAATCAAATGTATCTCCATTCATTTAGGTTTGGATCCAGCTGGGCCCCTTTTCCAGTACACTCCCACAATGGTTAGGCTGGATCCTTCAGATGCAAAATTTGTTGATGTAATTCATACTCATGCTGGTCATCTTTTCTTTGACTTTGGTAAGTTTTCATTTAAAGGCTGCCATTGGCACACAGGTTGGCTACAGAACACCTGAGAGTGACCTGCCAGGATCCATTGTGCATTTCAGCTCCAGGCATTCTTCAGACTTGTGGCCACCTGGATTTTTACCCAAATGGTGGGAAGAAGATGCCAGGATGCAACCAGCTTCGTGTACCTCCTGCAACTCGGGATATCAATGACCTGATGAGAGGTAAATTTATTTTAAAGAATTAATGCCTCATTATAACTTAGTTAGGAAAAAAAGCTCGGATAAGCTAAGACCTTTATATAGCTCAGATTTGGAATAGGGAGACAATGCTCAAAAAGAGAACATTTATAGCTGCCTCTGAAATACCCTCCAATTTTCTTTTGTATTAACCAAGGCAAATTCTAGATGAAAACTTCAGTTAAAGCATGCAAAATTGTGCATCACGAGCTTTCTGAGAGCCTGCCACTGTGCTGACAGGCTGACCTCAGTGGGAATTCCTCACATGAAGGACTGGTAAAATTTCATTCATGGATAATCCAAAAATGAGTATTTTAAAATCAGAGCTCTCCTTCTCCCTAGGAAGATATTACTCCCAATACTACTGGGATTCATCCATGCCATCAAGTTTTAGTCTCTTCAAAGAGAACAGCCCAAGGTTAGAAATATAAAAGATGATAGAATGACTGCTTCATTAGTAGTTCTTCAAAGAAAGCTGGGCAGTTAATCAGAATTACCCTGGGATCCAGTACAACAGATCCACAAAATCCTGTCTTCTCATCCTAACCTAGAGAAATGAGAGTATCTGTTTTTCACAGCTAAGTGTTTTGAAATCCTTACCACTAGTTAAATAATTTGCTTTCAAAAATGGACTCCCTTAGAACCGGTTGAGAACTTAGTAACAAAGAACTGAAAATGGGCTGTGCTCAAAGTCACTTGGAACAAAAACTCTTTCCAATTGGAATGCATAAAAATGCCTGCATTTAAATAAAAAAATCAAATATATTCCAGAGACATTTCACAAGGCTCTTTGCAATGCTTTGTCAAGAAGGAGGAACTCAGCTCTATTGAACACGAGCAGATGGAGTTGGTTGTTCCTGCAGCTCCTAAAAATAGACACAGTCTTAACTCCCTGCTCTTGGTTAAACCATACTTTGTTTGGTAACCTCTCTTTTGTTGGTTAATGCTTACATTTATGTAGTGTTTGTATGTATGAAGTGCTTTAGAAATAATATTTAATGATTTTTTTTTCCCTACAGTTTTTGATGCAGTAGAAAGACTATAGGTGTTAAGTGAATTTGCCACCAACATCAATTGAGCCAGCTGTAAGAGCTGAGGGTTTAAAAGCACAAACCCTTCTGAATTCAAGACAGAGCTACTAAGAAAACATACTCAGGAAGCTTTGATGATGCAGATTATTTTCAAGAAAAACAGACAAGTGCTTTTCAGAGAGATTTTACTGTGGGTTTCTTTTCTTTCCTTATGGAAAGAACAATGTGTCAACTGGTCAACACCAACTGGTCTATCTTTAAGATGTATAAATATTGCCCTTAGGGGAAATTTTGATTTCACTACAAACTGTGCTAGCTTGAAACTACTTCAGTGCCTCCCAGACTTCCCCTGGTGGTTTAGTGAGCCCCCACCATGTGCTGAAGTGGAATAGAGCCCATTTTTATACAAACAACCTAACATTAGTGTATTGTGTTTTGATATAGGAGAAACCTTGGAATCAAGGAAGATTCATTTGCTATAAGGAACATGTAAATATAGCTCAAATAGCACTTTCTTCTTTCCTTACTGTCTGCTTGTAAATTTCAGTAAGATGGGAGAAAGTACTTTTTTCAAAGAGTTCTGACAAAATCAAGGACACACTGACAAATATCCTGCTTTTCAGAGGATTTCACAGAATTGCTATCAAATGCCTGCAGATTTTATAGTGCTTAAAACCACCAAAAGTTACTGAATTTAAAATAATTGCTAAAATTACCTTTAATTCTAGAAATTAGTGGAAAGTGTGATTTTAAAGAATACCATGTTTGGTAACTGTAATAAAAGGAAAATAACTTCATTGTAACTACTGTATTGTACTGTTTACAAAAACTGTAGGTATGAAATATTCCAGTCTTTGAAATATCAAAGGGGAATACTCCCAAATGCTTCTTGTTTAACTTGGTGATCTCCACCTCTGTTAACAGCTACCTCTTTCCAACAGAAAAAAAATATATGTAGACATAAGTACACCATCATAGTACAAAACCAAATAATTCACACTTTAAATGTCTTTTAATCATTGCTGCTTCTTTTATCTCAGACATCACTATATATGCAAGTGCTTCTGAGGAAAAGAGACCCCAAAATGTTTATTTGGCATGGACTTAATGTATTCCTTTAATCACTTTTTACCTGTTGGGGTTTTTGTTGTTTGTTTTTGTTTTTTTCCTTTTCCCCAGCATACAGATCTTTTGGATGTGGACATAAAAGAAGTCTCAGGTATTATGCTGAGAGCATCATGACTCCAAATGGATTTGTGGGGTATCTGTGTGACACATACCGAGAATTTGTGCTGGTAAGTACCAGGTCTGGATTTATCTGAGGTCCTATTGCCCTGCCCTTCTTCTTTTAATAATTTCTGGGACAACTTCTACACTTGGGATCATGGGATGTGGGCACAGGGGACACTCAGAACCACTACCTTCATTCAGACCATACCCAAACCCAAGCAATTTCACAGTAGAGAAGTGATAATGATCATTTAGCCTTTTTTTCATCAAATGCACAAATAGCCAAAGGTCCACAAATACCAGTTTGAACAGAACCTCCCACATATCAAAAGTGAATTACCTAAATATAGCAATGTTATTTTTTCTGACTGCAATTAATCTACTTTCATGCTTATCTTATTTTACCTTCTTTTAATGGATGTCAAGGTCTTGATCTGATTGTCTGATCTGTGTGGGTAGATTAGAAATTCATTAAGGCTCTGCATGGGAATAAAGGATAAAGAGGTGATGGAACAAATCCCAAACCGAAACCCCAACCTTCAGTATTCCTAAACATAAATATTTTTACCATATGAGTGAGATGTCCAACCAGACCCCCTTGGAAAGGTGTTTATCCGTCTTATAGCCAACAGAAAATCTTCCAGTGGATCCTATGAAAGATGAATATATTACCTGGATTTTACAGATCAGGTAGCAAGGCACAACATTCTTTATGGTATTTATTTCTGGTCTCTGCAAGACCACAAGGAATTGGGCCAGATTTCCAGCCTGTTTCTCTCTGATTTTCAACAAGATGAAATAAGCTGACTGACCACCTCAACTCCTTTTCCAACCACAAGACTGAATATATGAATATATAAATACTGAAGATATGACCTGAACTGAGAATCAAGAACCTAAAAAAAAACCCAAACAAACAAACAAATAAACAAAAAACACTGGGGAAAAGCTGAAACACCCTAATTTCCTAAAATTTAAGAAGTGACATTAAAATAGATGATGTCTTATAACACACATTGTTATTTTCCCCCCAGGGAGACTGCTTTCCATGTCCAGAGGAAGGATGCCCACTGATGGGTCATTATGCTGATACATTTTTACATAAAACTGCAAAAGAAGAGCAAAAGGTTTATTTAAACACAGGGCCCTCCCCTCCATATGCTCGTAAGTGCTCATTTTGTGGTGTATTCTCAAGTGCCAATGAATTATGTGTGAAAAAGGACCTTACACTTCTGCAGAGCTGCTGCAGTTGATGAGTTGCACTCAATAAAACATCTAGAATTTTGGGTGTTAGGAACATGCAGTACCAGCATTATTTAGGAAAGCTGAGATAATTGTAAAAACAGAACAAATGATGCTCATCTTTGGGTTAAACTTGGTTAATACATGATGGCTTCAAATATTCTATAAAGCTGAAATTGGGAGGAATTTTATGCTGGAAGTGCATAATTTCAAGTTTAAAAATGTTGCATTGTTTTTATTGGCAAAAGTTTATAAAACTGGATCATTTCAGGATATTTTTGCCAAGCTCATCAAGGGAAAATGGCAGGGAGCAATAAGAAATACAGTTTTAGTTGTGATTAATGTAGAAACAGCCGCTGGACTGGGAAATAGGAAAATTAATAAGTGAACTGCAATTTATCACAGGTGTTTTTTGCTTATAAGTGCATTTGTGCAATCCTTTTCTCTCTCTTAGAGACACTGAAACATATAAGAAATTTAACCCTTAGGAAAGAAATCTCCTTACAGCTGTAATCCATTTGATTTTGCTTTCCAAGGCTGGCGAAAAGAGATACATGTCAAAGTATGTGCAACAGAAACCATGAAGGGAAATATAGATGTAGCCTTGACTGGAACTAATGGATTCAGAAAAAAATATACCATTGACAAGTAAGTTTAATGTGGCTGTTGAAAACGTGGCTCTATCACATGGAATGTATACACAACTATTTTTACATGTGTCACCTTGTGCTGGGTGGTCTGTGATTTACACTGGTGATAAAAGTAGCTGATAAGTGATTGAAGTTCCCTGTGCTGCAGATTGTGGTGAAAATCTGTTTGCAGGTGCCTCTTGATCTGTCTTTTCTTCTGTTTGAGGCTGAAGTTAGCATAGCAAAGTGGGAAAGAGCTCTGTGGCTGCTGCTGGACTCAAACATGATTTGGTGATCTCTGAGAAGACAAAGAGCTCAGTGATGTACATTCATCTATTTATCCCCTCCTCTGGGGAATATGTGAATAAGAAAATTGCAGCTTGCCCATGGACTGTGCTGGAATATGGAATTCCTGTCCACTCAGCCTGGCCTGTTCCAGTAAATGTGAATTTAAATCTCAATAAACAGGTGCTGGTCAGCAAACCAGCTTCAATATTACAAAACCAACCTCCTCTGTGTTTGAACACATTACTGGTCTGTACCAGGAGTCCCTTTGGTTATAAATACACCACTGCAGCAATAAACCCACAGATAATTTCAATGCTAATGTCACACTGCAATGTGTGTTCTGTTAGCATGAACAGTGATAGCACAGAAGGCACAAATGTAAACTATAATTTTCAATTTCCTTCATGGTTGAGAGCAACCAGAAACACTGAGAGGACTTTTTGACTTGGATTTGTTTGAAAATAGATCTTATTTTTCAAAAGTAATGTATAGAATAAATTACAGCAATACTGACAAAGGCTGTGCTAACTGATGTGTGTTTTCATCCTGAAAGGCACAGGAATTTCAGCAAATCTATAAAAAATACTCATAAAATTTGTAGTATTCAAAGCCCCAACTCTGATGGCACCCCATAGCTCATCTCCCTTCTTGCCTATAGTCAAGTTTTCTTCTCCCCCTCATGTGTGTAGAACACAGAACATCACTTCTGTGCTTTTCTTCTGGCAGGGGAACTTTCAAACCAGGGAACACATACTTGAACTACATTGATACAGAAATTCCTGGGAACATATCAAAAGTTGAGTTTCTCTGGAAAAAGCATCTAGGTCATGTAGACAGAGGCTGCATGGGAGCTGAAGAAGTCAGAATAATATCTGGGGAAAACGGAAATATGTAAGTACATCATCTAATGATGTAAAGGTAGAAGTTTTTCTCCTGAATTGCAGTTTCATGTGTCCAGCTCTCGATCAGCACAGAGCACAGCACACAGGAACAGCTCTGCAGAGTTCCACGCTCCCTGCCTGGGCAGGGTGCTTCATGCTGACTCCAGCCAGAGCAATGGGCCTGGCAGCCACTGGCATCTGCAGGATGTGAGATGCACTTTTGGAACATACCTCCTGTTTAGTTTGAACCAAAATGAATCCAGTTTATGCCTCCAGCCCTCTCTGTCATGTAAGCCAAAGTGTGGTAAGTGGGGAAAATGGAGGAAACAATTCCCTTCAAAAGCACACTCCTGTCCCAAATGGAAACTCTGAGCGAGCCCTATCAAAAAGGCAAAGACATCCTAAAAGTTAAAAGTTAGTCATGGACTAGTAAGTCTTAAAAAAAAAATTGATAGCACACACTCTATGCTCTCAGCCTACTGGAACTTATGCTTTGACCTAACATGAAATAAACCCAGGGTTTATATTGATTATGTTGGCTAGCTGCTATGAAAATGTCCCATTTTACTGACAAATATTTCCTGAAATTCTCCCCCCTTCCCAGGTCTGTGTTCTGTGGGTGTGGGACTGTGCAGCCCAGCATGTGGCAAGCCCTGGCTCTTTGCTGAGGGCCAGGAATGCCTGGAACACCGCACCAACCCTCACCAGCTGGAAGAGGACACTGCAGGCAGCAGCAAAGGATTATTTCCTGTACCTGAAACAGTCATCTTCTTTATCAAAACTGAATTGTATTACTGAGGAACTTGAACTTTCTGGGAGCCTTCAATAAGAAACTATTTTCTCTTTGCCAGTGAAACAGAATTTTCAACCTCTAGTTGGCCTTTGTGACAATACTGAAGTCAGACTTGAGCTACGTCATTTGGATTAGCATTGCCACTCCAAATTTGTCAGCATTTGGATTGTATTGGTTAGCAAAACCAGACCACTAAGAGTTATCAGCATCAGCCAAAATAAATTAAGGTTCCTTTGTTTCAACACAAGCTACCCACAAAAATTCTTTAATTTTTTAATTACCAGCTGTTGTCTAAGGCATGCAACTGATTTTTGCATCTGATGTGAGGTTTATCATTTGGGTGCAGAAATTATGTGTATCAATCACATTGGGCAATTCTGTTGTGTCCCATCCTGACAACCAGCTATTCCAGAATGCTCCAGTGAGGTTCACCAGAAGGTGTTGCTGTGTTTCACAAGGCTGAATGTGGCTGATGAACAGGTGTGTTTCAAATTATGCAGCAATACTGCTTTTGAGATAGCAGAACCCCGTGACCTCCTGTGAAGATTGCTGAAGGAGCTTGCTCAGGATATAAATCAGATGTCTGCCTTCTCAGAGTCACTCTTCAGTAGTGTTTTATCATCTTTATTTATCATCTCCCTGTGAGTAGGACAGGACCAGAAACCATCTTGAGTAGGAAATTCATCCTTCTGTACCCCTTAAGGATATTTCTTGGCAAGATGCCCTTCTTGACTAAGAAGGGTCTCCCCACACTTGTGCTCCCCTGGAGTTATAAAAAAAAAACCAGGTACTTCTACACAGTTTGGAAATATCTGTAACACAGAAATATCTGTAATTGCAACATCTTGAACATCCTCCATAAACCATGCATGGATCTCTGCCCCAGAGTTGCACAAACTAAGGAGACTATTATTTTGCCTTTCTTACAGTCAGGAAGTGAAGCAAAATAAATGTAAGTATTTTCCTCAGGATCACAGAACCTGTGCAGGAGGGGCAGGGAGTGGGCTCTATGGCATGAACAGGAGTGTGATCAGTGCCATGTAAGGCATCACTCCTCATAGGAAACAAACAAAATCCTATTGGACTCAAGACTTTTTAAAGCCCATCCTCTCCTGCCTCCATACTTGACTCTGCCCCTTTTGCAATTCTAAAAACTGATTTGATGTTTTTATGAATAATAAATAATATTCTTTCAAAAATACAAGTTTCATTTTGTTTCATTTTAAGCTATAGATTTCAACAGCGTTCTGACAAAACATGACAGTTCATTTAGGCTGCTGACTTGTGCTAAAAGTGTGGTACAGCTGATTAGACAAATTAAAAATAAGCATTTTCTCACCCAACTTTTTCAGCTAAAACTAGAACCTTGCATTATTTTCTTGCCCTTGTTATCATTCTTGTTATATACTATTTCTTGAGTAAATGTTTATTCTTTGATATAGTAGACATCAACACTGCCCTTCTTTGCTAATATTGTTTTAGACAAAACAAGAGAGATTTATTTTTATGAGATAAAGGTGAAAAACCCCACATCAACAGCAGCTGTGTGTTGCTGGTGGCAAATAATCTTCCTCCTTGTTTATTTATGTAAAATTTAAATTCTGTAAATTTAAAATTATTCCAACTATGAAATCTTTGGATACTATCACTTCATATTAATGTTGCTAATCCAAATAATGCAGGGTTTGGATACTTCATGAGACAGTCTGCTCTTGACAAAACTCTGGACAGACAATTCTTTCAAATCTTTGAAACAAGGTGAGCCATCTTTTCAGAACAATTTAAACTGAATCTTTAAAATGCCAAGTGAGACACACCACTCCATATGTTTGGCTGTCATGTGGAAAGGTAGTGCTTTTTGAAATCAAATGTGCCTCATTTCTCCAGGGATTTAATGGACATATTATGATTTGCATTCTGTCTTTTACGTTATTTAAATATTGTGCCAAATTATAAATGCTTCAGAATTACAATACAAATTTAATTTAATTCTCCTTTAACATGTGTTCACTACAAAAATTATGACAAAGATAAATTAGTAAGAAAGCCATTATGAAACATTCAGCCTCAGTCACTTTTGTCTCTTATGGCACTCTCGACAATGGGGTAAGGTAAAACTACACAAACAAACCTCTTAAACCTTTTATGGAAAAAGGAACAGCAATAATTAGCAATCCAAACTATCTGGGGCACTTACATTATCTTTATGTACTTTATATGTGAGAGAAAAGTAATCTTAGAAGAAAATACATGTTTGTCATAAAGGCATGTGTGCAGGTGTGCTAAAGAGAAAAGAAGGGCCATTTTTGTCAGAATTCTCTGACACCAAAAATAAAATACTCTACTGATTGGCACAGCAGTTTCTCTTCTTTCCAAAATCACAGCCTATCAAAATGTCCCTCATAATGTTTGTGAGCCCAGAACTAAAATAACAATAATTAAAATTAACTAAATAAGACTAGTAGACAAAGACCTCAGTGTTCAGATTGTGCAGTTGTCTCTTCTCCTACTCTTGATCCTATTTTAATCTGTGATTTTTTAGATTTTTTTCATTCTGCTGTAATCCACTACAATACATTGATAAAATCCTTGCAAAATAAACAGGAATTTGCAGGAATATTCCTTCCAACATCTTCTGGTCTTTCATCTTTGTTGTTTTTTATTCCTACAATGGATTCCAATTCTCAAATATCTGTTTGTTATACAGAAGATTAAGCAAGAAAAAAACCTTTGGGAAGTAATTTTGCTGAGACTTCAGTGCAGTCAGGGTATTTTGTAAAGCCCCTGGGTCTAACAGCTGTTTGACACTCTGCTGGGACAGAAGCAAAACCAAAAATCTTTATGCATTCCCAACATTTATTTGAGTTATTCTTCCACAACCAAAGCTGACTGGAGTTGGAGTAAACAGCTGACCTATCACTGACCTATCAGTAAATCTATCTGGATGGAGTCTCTACAAATCTTGGGGCTCTCTTATTCTCCTTTTGTCATTACACAATATCAGAGACGCTGCTTTAATCTGCTCTGTTTCCAGTAATTAGGGAGCAGAAGTTGATAGCATGCCCAAATCTATTTCTGTGGCATATTTCCAGGACAAAACAGAGCCAATAATCTTTATCTTCAAATATCAAGGTATAAAAACTTCCAGAAAGAACATGTCTCATCTGCAGCCCTTGCACAAGCAGAGCACGCCCATGTTGCTGTGCTGAGGAACACAAACCTCTCCCAGCTGCCACAAGGGTCTTGCAACACCGGAAGCATAAGCAATATGTGAAAATACAGGCTGGCTCTGGTGTCATCCCAGAGTTTTTTCCCTTTTTTGTGACACTAAGAAAGCTTGGGGCCAACTGCTGATGTCCCAGAGCTCTAGAGGATTACCTTTGTTCAGAGCCACTGGGCTGTAGGTGAGCTGCTCAGAGCCATGCTTTTATCAAATACATATTCAAGATTTGCATCTGCCTTTCAATTTCCTAGGCAAATCTATAGTCATTCCCTTTTATCTCACCTGATTTGTTCAAATAAGTTCAATACTCTGGCATTAACAGGAGATAAAGCATTCAGAATAATGAGCTTCACCCTCTTCCCTTTAATTCTGCCCCTTGTAAAGAAAATCTGTCTGTCCCTAAGGACTCCCCTCTGCCTTGGGTTACTTTCATCATCTGCTCTAAAACTCCCTTTTCTAGTGCTATTTGCTTCAAATACTATACTCCATAAATCTCCAGCTCACAAAACCAATAGTTAATTTTAGCTTTGCTTGCTTTGAGTGATTTAATTGACAACCAGCATGCATTATGGAAAATCATAAGTATTTATAACTTCCAAAACATTCTTTTAATTGCTGCTGTGTGATGCTGGAAAGGATACACTAAGGTAAATTTGTCTCTATTCAATTAAAAATTTGTTCACTTGACCCAAAGAAAGCACTGGAGTTAAACAATAGAAATATGAAGCAAATCTCTTATTCTTGGCTCTGCCACTCAGATACTGCAGGTAAGATTCTCCAATGAGCAGAGTGGTCTTTGTCTATACATATCAGCAGTTCTCTAGAGGATGGAATACACAAATGACCTCCATACAACCTAAGAAATTCATTAACTATCTTCAATCTAAAATTGAAGTGAGAGCAAGAAAAAGGTTGCTTTTACAGTTTTATACACTTATCCTTCTATAAAAGCCTCAGTAATTTATATATTGCTGCACTTGAAACAGATTCTGAGATTCCTTTGGAGACCATGATCCTCAGTGAGTGTTTTGATTCTCTTTTTCCTTCCTATGTGAATGCCACTGATACCAAAAAGGATTTATGTCCTTGATAATTCTCAGGCTGACATTTATAAAATCACTGGATGTGTTCAGTTGCACATTGTCAGAGGCAGCTGCAAAAGCCAGACTTACCTGCCCACTAAAATCTGTTTTCCTCTTAAGACACAGAAATAGGCCCAGAAAAATTGACCATTCCTAAAAGGAGCTACACCTCAAAAACCTACAAGAAGGGTTAGAAATTACTTTGGCTATTAATTCTGGTCTACATTAATTTAATTACACCACTGTGTATTCCCTCTGAAATACACAGTGAAACTCAGTGGCACTGTTACAGCACTCACACATGAAGACTAACTCTGTGGAAAGAACAGCAAAATATTTGGGCACATCCAGAAATCCTGGTCCCCTAAAAAAATATTTCAAAACTGTTTCATTGCCACACAAAGATGTCCCTCAGATCCTGAAGATGTCATCAATAGAGGCACCAGTTTCAGTGGCTGCTTTGCATTTAATTTACATGCCAGAATTTTGACACGAGACACATGAGGGCACATGACACTCCTTATCTCTTTCCCTTGGCTCCCCAAACTCCTTCCTCCTCAGACCTATCTAATGAGCTGCATTGTTCTGAGGGGCTGTGTGCCACAACTGCTGCCAAATCTCCATCTTCCTCTCCATGAAGGTAGACTCGAGAGTCAATAATTTCTTATTAGCTGGATCTCTTCTGTCTTATCTGAAATGACGCACACATTGTCAGTGTAAGCAGAAATTAAATATGAGATACAGTCTCTTGCTGGCCACTGCTTCCTGCACATTCCTCTCAGACTTCTTTCTAATGATTGTTTTTGTAATGGCACTGCCTTGCACTCTACCAAGAACCAGACCTAGACTCAAACATTCCTGCAGGTGCCATGTGCCACAAGGAGTGACAGACACCCCTGACTCGGTTTTCACAATGCCTTGCAGGCTGATTGCCTTACACACCACTCAGTATGTGGAGAAACATTTTTTGGTGTCATTTCTGAGATACCTTCTTTCAGGCAATGCACATATCTCAGGACCACAAATTAGCTCCTTATGTGAACCACAGATCCAGCCCAAGTTACTTCCTGCCCTGGGGCACTCGCACCACTCCTTGATTAAGGGTGACAGTCGCTCCTAGGAGTTGCCAGAGCAGGTGATTATGGCAGCACCCATCCTGCAGATAGCACTGTAGGCACTTGAGGCCTTGCTCAGGACCTGAAAGAACTGGGTTCTGGCATGGCTGTGACTCACAATCTCCAGAGCATGGAAGAGAATCTGGGATTTACATGATGGACAAGCCATGAAAAGATGAATAACACGATTATCATCATCCTATCCTTCTCCGGAAACAATTTTGAATGAAAGTGCCCGTGGTTTCTCTGATCTAGATGGATTACAATAATGTCAGTTTACACCAGTTATATTCAGAGCATGCCAGCTGATAAGAGAGCTTGGTACCAGGTAAGTAATGTACGGATCCCACATGGCCTAAGAGGACATAGGTTAGACAAAATGGTGGTAGGTAGACAGAGCTTGAGCAACTCCACTTGTAAAAACTCAGATACTTACATTGCCCCTAAGTTGTAAGACTATTCTTCCTATTCCTTTCTTTTAAAAGAAGCTAGTCTTCCCTTGATTTAAAATATATATATATATATATATATAAAGAGGTTTGATTGTATGAAAATGTACAAGGGTTTGCTTTGACAAGGCACGTTCACTGGACAGCTAACAGACAGAAAGACAGCTGCTGACTGCTCGTGGGGAACACAGAACAAGGAAATAAAGCTCCTGCTCTGAGCTCCCCTGCAGTGGAGGGTCAGTCAGTACCTGTAACACGAG